AGATTGCCAGCCATCTCTATCCTTAGAGTTTTGAAATGTTGTAAATTTTTTTTTTTGAGACAGAGGCTCTCACTCTGTCGCCCAGGCTGGAGTGCAAGTGGGCCGGATCTCAGCTTCACTGCAAGCGCTCCGCTCGGGTTTATGCCATTCTCCTGCCTCAGTCTGTCAGCCTCCGAATGATCGGGAACTATAGCCCGCACACGTCGCCCCGGCTAGTTTTTTGTATTTTTAGTAGATACGGGTTTCACCGTATTAGCCAGGATGTCTCAATTCCTACCCTCGTGATCCACCCTGCTGGTCTCACAAAGGGCTGGTTACAGGCTGAGCCACTCGTGCCTCGGCCGAGATTTTTAAACTCTTAAATAATCTAAAAATTCAATCAGTCTACCCGTGGCCTGGATTTCCGCCGGCCTTTTAATTAATTTTATTATTATTATTTATTTAATTTATTTTGAGACGGGGGTCCACTTGTCCCTCCAGCTGATGCAGTGGCGTGATCATCGCTCAGCTGGCAACTTCTGTCAGGCTAAGCGAATCCTACCTCATCCTCAGAGTAGCTGGACAACAGGCATGTTCACCACAAGAGCTGTGTACAGTGAAGGCTCACAGTGAAGGTAAAGAGAGACAGCTTATAAACACAAGAGCCATGTTCAATCTCACTTCACAGATGAGAAATGCAAATGAAAACCACAAGGAAACCGACAGAAGCTTAAAGAGAAACAGGATCTTTATATAGTCTCAAAATGTCTCCCCACAGCCATTTCTTACCACCAAAGGAAGAACCAGTATTTTTATACAGTGGGGAAAAGAGGCAGATGCTGCCTTAGCCAAATAATCAAAACGAGAATCATGTGCCTCGTGACATAATGCAGTGATAGAAAACATCAGGAATATGCTGTACTCCTGCCCAAAGGACACAGCCTGAATCTCCTCAAGAGGAAATACCAGGCAAGTGTCAACTGCGGACATTCCACAAAACACCTAGTCCGTATTCCTCCAAAATTTCACTACCATCAACAGCAAAGACGGACGATCTTCACTGTTTACGCTCGCACGGCGCTGTGTGGCTGTGAGTGCGGTCGAGGGACACTTGTTCACGTGTGCTTCCTTTCATGTTCTTTCTCTTTTCTCTTTTTCTTTCTGAGATGCGAGTCTTGCCTTGTTTTGCCAAGCTGGAAACGTGCAAATGTCGGCACTGATCATCAGCTACTCGCAAACACTTCTGCCGTCCTAGGATTCAAG